TCTCTAACCTGTTGGATATGACTCCTCCTTCATCAGCTTTACTGAGAAATAGAAGACGAAATCACACAGTGAATGATGAAAACAGGACACTTTTTTCATATAAGACTAAATTTACATTGCTCAAATCCAGAAAAAAAAAATATAAAGATCAAAAGCTTGATGTATCATACAACATTTAAGGAACACCACCATCAGTAATGGTGAGAGATTAATAAATCGATCATTTAAATCAGAACAGAAATCCTTCTTGTACACATTCTTTTCATCTTATCAAGCTTTTGAAGCCTTTAGCTGTGTTCCTACTGGATAAATACATTGCCACCCTTCCTTGTTTATTTTACTGACACTCTAATGCCTTTTAATATAATTGTAAAATGCATCTGGCCATTTTTCCTCACATATAAATGTTTGCTTTAATTGAAATAAGACATTAACTTTTCTCTCACTAAGGAGCCTTTTGCCAAAGCTGTTGTTTTTAAAGACATCCTCTACAGCTCCATGCAATTCGCTACCACTCAGCATATGATGAGTTGTGTCAACAGCAATCTGGTCTGTCAATTAAAAGATCAAAAAATAAAACACAGGCCCAACTTTGTGTAAACCTCTTTCCAAGCTGTAAAGTTGGTATGAAAAGCTTTTGAATCCCTCCCTCTGGACTAGTCCCAGGGAGCAGCACCACCATCTCCCGGGCAGTGCCAGTGCATTCAGTCCCCTGCAGCAGAAGACCAGGGGCATGAGAAAGTTAAACTCTCAGCCACACCTGACACCCAAGCAACCAAAATTTCCACCATGAATTTGATGTTCAGCTCACAAAATTATAAACATCCTTCCAGTTGCAGACAAAGCTTTCCAGAAGAATTCACGGAAAAGTAAAGGACGGTCCCTTCCAACCCAAACCATTCTATGATTCTATGATAATGACAGAAGGCACTGAATTTAAAGCAGCATGCTCCTTTTGCTTAAAAATCAACAAGCTGTGGGCAAAATCCGAAGAAAATTAAAAGCAAGTATAAAATCCAGGGAAAGAAAATGCAAAGGCATGGAAAACCATGAGGGATGTATCTTTCACCCCAGGGCTGGCAAACTGGATGAGCAGCAGTTCTACAGAGAGCAATTCAATTCCTCTTACTGCACACATTGCATATATTTCGGCTGGTGATATTATTTGCATCACCAGCTCCTAACGACTTCTTAACAGAGCAGCAGGAGTCCTTTGTATATCAAGTGAGAACCATTAAATAGTGCTTGCTTCTTAAAGATGTCTCAGGTTGTCACCAGTGATTTGTCACATCAGAGATTTATCAGAAGGCAAAAAAACCAGGCAAGACTGACCAACAAGATTAATGAATGACTCTGTGCTCAGGAATTTGCAAAGCATAAAGAGCATGATCACAAGGATGTCAGAATTTCTTTTCAAGTGTTATTGATTGCTACTGCCAATCCCATCCAACATCTCTGTTAGCACCAAAAAAGACATCTGCAGCTTCACCCAGACTGTCTCTACTCTGTACTCTCAGCAATTATTCACATCAGCACAAACACTGCACATCCTTACCTGGCAGTACCTCACACTCATGCTGTTCAGCTCTGCGCGGAAGTCCAAACTTTGATAGGATGCAGAGGAGCAGAAATTCAGGTTCTAAAATGTTTAAGTGTTTGGGGGAATACCATGTGGAGCTCAGATGAACAAGGGCATTATGTAGAATAACTGGGAAAAGCACTCCAGGTTTCCTCCATGTGGGCAGTCAGTGGCAGAATACTTACAGTTCAGATGGAGCTTGGTCCAACTCTGAAAATGCCAAAAGGAGAAAGGAATACTGGTACATAACTTGATGTCAAGATAAGGGCACACCGAGAATGTCTGGATTACAGGAAAGCTCTCTCCCATTTGGTATAGTTTTCCTTAAATATTGATATAAAGGATTAGTCTCTGACAACTGTGGCAGTTAACCATATCTGAGAAATTAAACACATTTTCTCAGTTAACCAAGCAGATGGTCCAAAGTTTAGCATCCTTTCCTACTGCTTGCCCTGAAGAGAACCTCAGGTCTATCAGTACAACCAAACACACTTCAGACTGTTAGAAAGGCTCAGAGATGAACCTATTCCACTTTGCGTTGTGACCGATCAGAAGCATGCACCGCCCATCACTGACTCCCCAGAGAAAGTGTTACCTTGAACTACATGAGCACTAACTTTCTAACTATTTATGCAACACCAAGTTGCATCCACCCCACCTTACATCAACAAAGCCCTTATGTGTTGTCTACATATGAAAGGGGAGTTGGGAGAGAAGCCCACTCCCTCCCGAAGCAGGCAGTCATGGCACTATGACCAAGGCAGTACTATGGTTAAGGGAGGTGGTACCTCACACCCCACATGGGCTGAAATTATTATACAATTATAGCATTTTACAAGTGGCAGAGGAACAGAGGCAGTAAATGTCACTGAAAAATTGGAGCTATTTTGATGACGTTCCCAAGTATTGACCAACTAAAAGAAATACTCTTTCCTTCAGCATCAAAACTAATCTTCCCTTTTTCTCCTTTCAAACCTCACTTTTGAAAGACTTGCACAACATTTAGCTTGGAAGACTTGCCTTTAAGACTCATGCCAATTAGAGCTGGATTCCAAAGTGACATTTTCTCTTACAAGGATTCTAGCTCTGCACAAATAAAAATCAATTACAAAATAAGTTATCTCAACAGACATGGTTAGGAGCATGACAGGGGAGACATTAGCTAGATGTGGACTATATGTATAACTAATGACTGCAGGGAAGGTTTTTCCTTATGTGTGTGTTTTGTCTCCTGCATGCATGTGCATTACCTGTGGACACATGATGGAGATGGAACCATGAGGCAGAGGTCTTGCTTGCCTCTGCAATGGCAATAGGCTTGCTGACCAAAAAGAAGTTCTAACTTCTTTAGAGGTGATTTTTGAAGACTCTAATGTCACTACATTCTTATTAGAATACAGAAAAGCCTTCCACAGACAAGGAAGGAGAAAAAATAGGCAGCGCTATGATAATTAGAAATGGAAAGCACACATCTTATGGGGAATTAGCTGCCAGCTCACTCACATTAGGAAGAGAACATGTAAAAGCAAAGTTCCAGGAATACAGAGATAGTGGGGAAAGCTCACACACCTAGCATGGAGAAACCAAAAACTGGGAAATCTTAAATTTCTTCAGTGAAGTCAGCTATACTGAACATTTGTAATAATTTGTTTTTATTTCAGATTCCAAGTTAAATAAAACCTTTAACCACTCCTTTTAATTCCTAATCTCCACAGCTGTTGATTCTCATTTATAGATCAACAGCTTCAACTGACTCCATCTCCCTCACTCTGGGAGGCTTCCTCTAATATTTCCACCATGACAGAAGACCAAAGTGTGATTCTAAACAGAACAGCCAAAATCACCACCAAAGTCTACTTACACCTCACCTACTTTTGTATCTCATTTCCCTGTCCGACTCAGATCTATACCTTTAGAAGCTAAAATCTCTACTGAAGTCTCCCATATTTCTTCATGGACTTTAATTGACATTTAGCACATTTGATCTAGCCATATAAAATTCACAGATCTTGTTAAACTCCGACACAGTCGAGTACTACTGTCCTCTTTCTCGCATTTACATCCTCAAAGAACTAATTCAAAACACACAGCTTGTTTTTATTCTATTCCAAGTATTTATTTTGCTAACACCTCCTCTGCAGACCTTCTAGTATGTATAATGTTACTGCCGCTTTCTTCTATACACAGTCACTACAGGATCAGTCTTCTATGCCCAGTTATCCAGAAGATAATTTTTTCTATCTAACTCAAATGTCTCATCTTAGTCTAATTATCTGCTCCTACTTCTGTTCCCTGGTGGTTATTTTGGTCCTTCAGAAAACCTGAAAATTAAGACGGTTTGAATATTATTTGTATAGGAAATGAAACTCAATCATGTGGCACTGTAGCAGGATACTTAATCAATCTTTGATTTCAGAGAAGTTCACGTTAAGAGAGCCAACACAAATGTGCCCAAAGTTTCCAAGGCAAAAGATTAGACAAATTAGCAATTTGCCAGATATGTGAGGGCTGAACAAAATTTGCATCCATATTTATATAAATACTGCAATCACTATAGTTTAGACTGGAAAATTAGACTGGCTTAGTCTAACCCCCAGTTTTCACACGCTTCTGACTTTCCCAAACGTTCACCTTAGAGGCTGAAATACTCCATGCTAGGTCCATATTTAGAGGATGTTATTTATTTTAAAAGACCAAACCACACTCCTTCAGCCATTTTAGGCTCTCAGAACTCATCACGCAGTGACATGAAAGAAAGAACTTAAGAAAAAAAAAACAAAATCAATGACAGTAACATGTGTGAGTTGCCAAGAATCAAACCTTTAAATTAACATTCTTGTTAAAAAGACAAGTAGCCTGAGTTTAGGAATAGAGGCACGTCCAGATGGCAAAGTTAATGCAGACTAGGTACGGTGTCCATTTACACCACACTCGCTGCTCTAGCTTAGCTACTTCTACAGTTTCTGTCATGAAGACTTCAGTAGCATCACTGGATTTCAATCCAGTTGGTGGTGGCAACAGAAAATGGGAACACAGCTTAGCATGATATGGTAGGGATCAGTCTCCACATAACACTAGTTTTGTATGTTCTGAATGTGATACCTATGAAATATTTGCAGTATGGAAGGTCCATCGCATCAGACTGTTCAAACAGATTAAAATAAAAACGAGCAACTGCTCCAAGTGACTAGTGCATTATGGTTGTAAGTTCTCAATCAAAACTGGGAAATCTTAAATTTCTTCAGTGAAGTCAGCTATACTGAACATTTGTAATAATTTGTTTTTATTTCAGATTCCAAGTTAAATAAAACCTGTATTATTTGCTATGACTAAACATGAATAATTGCCAAACATTTAAAAAACCTGAGTGACCACAGAAAATTCCAGTCCAACAGGGCCAACAAATAAGGAAATACTAAAATATCATTAAAGTTTGCCTTTATTTTTCTTACAGGAGAATTCTACATAAACCAAGGTGACTCTGTTTTACAAGACTCTTTTCCCAATATACTAAATTTTCAAGAGGATCATGAACAGTAGAAAACTGTAAATAACTTTTTCTGGTGAGGGCTACAGCAAAGTTTCTTCAGTTGTTGTAATCTTGAAGAGCTTGAGCCATGAAAAGCTTGCCCAGGTTCTGTGCGTTGAACTCCTTAATATTCTGGCAGTAGGTATTAATTTGACCTGTCAATAGGAAAGAAGAGTAAACCTCTGTCAGTTTTGAAATTCAGAAAGACACCCTACAACATAGTTTTTAAAAAGCCAAATGTGCGTGAATCATTCAGGATTTATACAGAGAAGCAACCAAACAGCTCGACTGCTCTACACTTAGGAATTTTACACTTTCAGTATTCCCAAAGAGGTTTGGGAAGAAGCAGCAGCAGCTAAACTAGCAGGACAGGTAAACTGGTACGCTCAAAACCCCCCTTGATTTTCCTACAATTCTACTACACACAATTTCCGAATAGACATATGACAATAAAAAGAATAAACAACTCTTGCTGTGTATTGGAAACTTAATCACATTAATTGTTCAATTTAGTTGCTCTAAAAATACTACAAGACTGAATTTCAGATCTCTTCTTGCACATCTGCTGTCCCTATTAAAATATTTGTAACAAATATTTTTCATTAGCAGATTGAAAATTGTGGTACTCCTGTTTGACATTTTGCTATCCTTTTTTTCCACCTAATATTTCACTTTATTAGCTATTTCAAAAATCATCAGGGTATGAAGACTTGTCAATGCTTTACAAATCAAACATGTCCATCAAAACATTTTTATACACATAATGGTACAAGTTATTTCCCTTGTTAGCTAGGAATAGCAAAGCATGAAGCCAGTTTAATCAAAATTAAGACTGTTCAGAAGGCCAATAAACTCTAAATTTAATGCTCTATTTGTAAAGTTTTTAAATGCCTCAGAAACAAAAGAGCTAAATCTTATTTTTTATCCACAAACTTTACTTCATATAAATTGAAGTGGATGCTTTCAATTCTTCCTCTGACTATGGCAAAAGAACAAGTAAAGAGAGTGCATTGGTTGAAAACTGTTTTCTCCTTTAAGTATTATAGTTTTCCATTCCTCCTCCTACAAGAGATGATTCATCCTATCACTTTCATAAAACACACATGTACACACATATACATTCTGTTGCACTTTTAAACTATGCTAAAGCTGAATGTTTAAACACTTTAATACTGCTAGGATTCATTAACTGGTAAAAATGATCAAAACAATAGTTTTTTTGAAAGGCTCTGTAAGGAATAATAAATCAAGTACATTATTTCTTCTAAAAGCAGCACTTATTAGCAGTGTGAAACAGTTTTAATAATAAAATAATAATCTCTTGGTCACTCCAGAATTTAAGAGTGGTTGTTCAAATTCACATTATTTTTTTTTTTTTAATGTCAAAGCACTTTTTTCTGTACACTAAATCACCAAGTACTTTGGCTTAATTTTCTCTCAGTACAAAACAAGGTGATGGTTAGCTAATCTAAAAAGCCTTCTATAGTTAACCAATTTGCTTTCTCATGACATTTTCCAAATTTAGATTACTTAGCAAGGTTTGCTGCTCTCTGTTGCCATTGTGAGGTCCCAGACATTTTTACCCTCCACGAGGCACAGGACAGGCACCGACTTTCGTACCAAACTGTGGCTACGTACTGCGGCATACCAGTAAACTGAAGAAACTGGGGGGTGGGACCTATACCTATATTGCGTGCCCATGTACATTTTCATTCACCTTGAGGTGCAGGAAGATGGGGAAAGTTTCCCTAAAACTCTGTCCATAGAAATCAAAGAAATTATCCCAATTATACATAAAATTAAAAACACAATCTTCTCAGCTGCTGCAACACCCAGTCCAACATCTAGGGATCTTATCAGTAACTGAGGGCTACAGACCACTGCCCTGCTCTGAATCAGTTTCAGTCCAAACAGCCTATTCCTTCCTCTTGTCTGTACAGCCCCCTAACCTCTGGGGTTCAGGGAGGAGCTGGGGTATGAGTGCAGGGAGCAGCCTGTTGACTGGAGTAGTCGATCCAGCCATTTGTGCAGGAAGCCTGCTCCATGGGGCATTTCTTCAGCTCTCCTTTAAAATCCCATTTCACCCTCTCAGAACGGAGCCAGGAAGAGGCTCTGGCTGCTGCTCCTGCTCTTTCCCATCAACCCAGGAGGTACAGATGGCCAAGCAGGAGCTGGGTACCATGGCAAAATAAGAAATAAAGGGAGAAAGTCTCCATACATCAAGTTTAAAGCTTTATGCAGCCATTCTGGTTAAACACAGTGGTTTGCTTTCAAAAAATTACATGTGTTTGTATCTGCCTGGGTAACATGCATCTGTTACTTACCTAGATGGTTTAAAATTCTGTGTGTGGAAGCTCACTTTTTAACAGAGACATGGACTGCCTACCAGCAATAAGTCTGTCTTTCTTCGCTACCTTTTTTTTTCTTTTTTTAAAACCACTAAAGACACTAGGGCTGTAGGTCACATGTAGAAACCACTGCCTTTGACCAAATGAAGGACAGTATTTCGAACAACATCAGTGCCAAAATATCACACCGTAATGGCAAAGGTAATGAAAATTCAGATGCTTTCTAAGGGTAACAACTGCACTTTTTCCCAAGCTAACATTCAGATATGAAAGGATGAGTTGAAGAGGCTGCTAGAATGTTACCTGCAATAAGGAGTGACTCCATTCTTGGAGGTGGCTGTGGTGGTTTAAAAAGTTTATTGATGTCCTCCTCAGGAAGAGGAGCTTCTCCTCGGCTTTGACGCTGCATATTTTCTTGCTGACGTCTCTGCTGGTACTGAAAATAAAGCAACAGAAACAGAATGCAACAGGACTTCCAAAGCTGCAAAAAGTTTTTATTTTCAGATGATCTTTACCTACCCAGCAAGTATGTTTTATAAATTATACTTATTCAACGCAGTTGAGTCAAATTTCAAACAATGCAAATGCAATTCACAGTTTATTTCAGTTCACTGGTAACAAGCATTTCCCCTGCAATTTGGCACCTTAAGTAAGTGAGGTACTGGAAATTGTAGTACTGAGGTGGTGGGGTTAATTTTTAAAATTTTTTCCAAGAGATAAATACTGTATCTGATGGAAAGAATACAGCATGGTAGATAAAGGCCTCCATTTCTCCACCCAAAAAAGAAAACAACGTTGGAATATGTAGGTATGAGAAGCCACTACCTGAAATAGTTATATAAACCAGAAATACTCAATTTTATGCAAGTTAAAGGTCAAAACAATATTGATGTGAAAGGGGAAGAGAACTTGATTAAACAAGGTATTTTTAGTCAAAAAATATTAACTCTAAACTGAAACAAAGCATAATGGTTCATTTTTCCATTCCAGTCATGTAGATATTCTGCCACTTTGATGCCATTTCTTTGTGGGTTACCAGAGGATATACTAGAGTAGCTGTTTGTAGAAATTATTCTGCTGTTAAAAAAAATATTTGTTTTCAGTGCTTTCTTTTGCCATATAGATTACTCAAACTATAAAAATTAAGGCAGACCATTTCTTCAGCTATTGGATAAACATCTGTCCCTCCAGAACTACATGCATTCAAACACACGTATGTGAGATTTCATACTGTATGTCACAGCCAGGAATCAGCTGTAAGGTTTGTCTATCGAAGCCCTCATCTTCAACACACACACCACAAAAAAAAAAAAAAAATCTTTAAAATAAACAGGCCAAAGAGTACAGGGTGTTTTCTCTCACTTACTTAAATGTATCTGTGCACAAGAGTCGGAAAAAAGTTCATACTTGGTGGCGTACTTAAATGAAGTAATTTTTTTTCCAGTAGTAGTGACAAATACATGTTTTTGGACAATGTTAAAAATAAAATCTTAAATGCCCATATTTGTATGTGAATTGCATGTAGTTTCTTCTTTCTTTGCATTACCCCATTCACTTCTCAGCAGTCTGCCTATTATTCTTTATTGAAACGGCTTGCTCTTAATCACAATTGCTCCGTTTTAAAAATGAAGTTAAGACCACTAAGTATGCTGCAGTGAGCCACTACTAAAGCAGCTATAGTTAGTAAAGAAATGAAGTGAGACACCATGGAACCTACTTTGCTCTGCTTTTCAAAATAAATAGATCCCCTTGTTATTAACAAAAACCCTTGAAGTGGATGCCATCTTTCTATTCAAATTAGGCAGCGAAGGAAAAAAAACTTTCTGAAGATAACATGCATGAAGCTTCTACGTCCTCAGGAATTACAAAGCTAAGAGAGACCACTGATCATGTGCTGCTTCCCTAAAGTACTCCCTGTTCAAGCTATACTTTACTTAAATGAAAAAAGACAATTTCGATTTTAAAATAGCCAGTGATGAAGCACTTCACATCAACCACAGGTGCTCTTTTTAATAATTAGCTACTTTGTGTGGCAGTACTTGCAATATTTTATCTTTAAAGTGGAGTGGCCCATTTTCAGTTGGCCAATATTGAATCTTGTCATATCTCTGCCAGATTAAAGAGTTGAAATTCATTTTTCATGCAGGTACTTCTTGAGTAAGCAAGTGACTCTTTAATTTATCATGTGAAGTGAATTCCGTTCATTAAGATCTGCTTTCCAGGCTTTTAAATCATTCTTATAGTGCTTTTTTCCAATTTACCAGCATTCTTCTATAATTAGAAACAGTACTGCTTTATCAAATGCAGCAACAGCAAATAAAGTAATCACAGAATGGTTGAGGTTGAAAGGTCACCTCTAGAGGTCATCTTGTCCAAACCCTCCACTCAAGCAGGGCCACCAGAGCGGGTCTCCATACTCAGTATTCTCCAATCAGACTATTTTGGATTTTAAAGAGGCCCTTTAGCATCAGGAATTTTAAATCAGGATCATCTGATCAGTATCACTATCTACTGATACAAAACGTGACCAAAATGTCATTTCTGATCAGGGAGCAGTCTGCTATCTTTTAAATACGGACTATGTTTTTTTATTTCTAGATGCATGACGACATGTCATGGTATTAAAGCACTATTTGTTTTGGAACAATTCACTTGTAGTTTCAGCTCTTTCATTTCAATTACTAAACCGCTAATGCCTCTGTCCACAGCACATTTATCAGTGATTTTGGTTTATCATAAATCACTAACAAACATATAAAACAGCAAAGAAAGACTAATCCACACTACATGCCAGCAGAAGTGAATCTATTTGATAATTCCACACTGACTAGCACATTTTATAAATCTACTGAGTGGATATCTTTCTGTAAGAATTTTATCTTGCTTAGATCCAAATTCATCTGTCATAGCACCATCTAAACCATACTTTGTGGAAAAAAATCCTCTCATTCAGGTTTTCCATGTTACCAACCTGGTGCTTCTGCTGCTGCTGTTTGCTTACATTCCTCAGGTAGGTATTGTATTTAACAATGTCTTGGCTCATTTCATCCACTCTGTCCATCAGCAGCTGCAGACTCTTCCCCAAGTGATTACTGAAATACAAGAAACATTCATAAAAATTGAATTTATTAAAAAAAATAAAAATAAAAATCTAAAGTTCATTTCAAGTCACTTGAGCAGTATTTCTGCACTAATGGCACAGTCTGTAAATTTTTAAATTCCTGGTTATCTTTGTTCATATATCTATTTGATGATACCTTACATGGCATCTCTTCCTCTAGCATCTCTGCCACACTGCAAATACCATATTTAAGTGTTTTGGTCTTTGCAGGGAACCCCACAGTTATGAAAAAACAATGCCTTTTGTGAATTTACTGATATTATAGATGCAGGTCAAATGTTTAAAAAGAAATAGTCTGATGCTTTTGTGACATGAAACCCCGAACAATGTGCCAGGAGATGTGTTCAAATTGATTTCAAGTTACTGATAGCTTTTTTAGGAATATTTAACTATCCCTATGCAGAGATAGTTAAATATTCTTCAGAACTCCCATCTTATTAACTACTCTATCAAACCACGCCTGGAAGTTCAGCAGACATTGCTTGATCTTAGCTGTTGAGAGGGAGTGTTGCATCCAGTCCAGCCAGCTCCACATTCCGTACCATAGGCAACATGGAAGGAGCTAGGCTGGGCACGTCCAGTTCCAGTTATGCGATCTACTGCCTTGGCCAGACAAATGCAGTCTGTTAAACAACTTTTATTGTAACCATTTTTAGCAATGGAGTCAGTGTTTTGCAGGAATGTTCAACTTAAGGTATAGGTTCCAAGTTAAAGTTTTGGAAGTTTTCAGGTTGGTGCCCATGGAGACAGTATTAATCCTAAATTCTGTTTACAGGGTAGTACAGTAAAAGAAGAATACTTACTGCTCTCTATTGATCCCTTTGATCAGCAGCTAGTTTGTTGGCTCTGATCTAAGCCTTAACTAGTCCTACTTGGCTGAAGACCAGTGACTCAAAAAACTAAACTCCATCCTTCTCTTTAACTGAAATCCACTACTACTCATGAGAGTTTCTTTCAAATAAAAAGTTTGGTGCACTTCTATATCAGAATCATACCCCTCACTGCTTCTCCACATCATCTGAGATTCTTTCTGCCTTTTTACAATGCATTCCCACCATCCTGTAGCCTATGGACTGAGGAAACTCTTAACTGGAAGAAACTGGCATAAAGTGAAAAGGAAACCACGTACACACCACTATGCACATCCCTTTTGAAGTGCAAATTATTCCCCAAATCCATATAACTCATAGCTGGAGACAGAACCTGGTGACATTCTGAGGCACTAGAGGATACTTGCTGAGAACATAGCTAAAGACATCCTTATCTCCCAGTACTAGGGCAGCTATTTCACTAGCTGAGCGCCTGCTGACTGAACAAAAGGCTGTATCAGTAACTTCAAACCACAACTCATTTACAAGGCAGAGTCTTAGATTTCAGTTGCGTACAGGGGCAGATGGTGAGGAGGACTTCAGCTACACAGCAGCAAGGAAGGCGCCACTATAATAATTATTTTTAAACTTCTTGGGGTTTTTTTGGTTGAACATTTCAAGTACATGATATTTAGAACTGTGGAATATTGCCATGGCTAGGGGTGTGCATATTTTTAGGTTTTTATAGAGTTTATATTATACAGAGTTAGTGTTAGAACTGGATATTATCAGAAGTGCCTATGTAGGTACACACTAATAGCCTTGTAGGGTATGTGGACATCAGGAATACCTAATTATTTTACAGATAGTGTCCATACGAAATATAGCTGGTTACAAAGAATGATTTTATGTGAATCTCTTTGGGACCAGCTTAGTGCAGCAGAACACAGAAACAGAGAGTTATTGTTAGAAGTTGCAGTAATATGGTGTTTGCTCTCATTGCCAGGGAAACAAGAAGCTAAAAACAGATAACTTAAACAGATGTGAACTGAGATGTGAAGTGATAAGTAGGCTGCAAATACAGGACCAGCTTTTTCCTCAGTTCTCATGTGCTTGATACTCTTTTTTGCTTCATCTCTTAAAAAAACAGAAAGACCAATGGGAAGTAATTTGTAAAAATTTATACATACAACATTTAAGCAAGTTTTATTCAGCTGAAATTTACTCTGGTGAGATTTAGGAAGTTAAATCACATTGCTCCAGCCCATAAGACTCCTCACACACTTACTTAGCCCAAAGGCTCTTTTAGGCACCTCCTTACCTTGTGCACTCCCCTACAGCAGATCTCAGAGATCACACTGCTAGAAATCTAAATGTACCCTATGCATTAATGTGACTAAAAAAAAAAATAAATTAAAAAATATTTATTTTTTTTTTAAAAGAGGTGCCAGTAAATGCTGCTCACAACCCCATCGAGTCTCACTTTCCTACAAGGCTCTGAGACAGTCAAATGTAGACAACGTGGAGCTCAGCACGTGCATTTGTTGTTCTGAGGGCATCAGTAATAAAGAAACTGCATTTTCAGTGGATGCATTTCAGTCAGCTGATTCAGCACAAAAGTCAATTAAATTGAGTTTACATTTAGACTAGCAAATAGTATAGAGCAACAGGAACAGGTCTATAAAGCAAAACAGCTGGTGCTGAGAAACCAATGTCCATGCTACATGTGTTTCAGGGGGTTTCTTACCACTAGTTCTGACATGGTCCAGTGATCTGAAAGCCCATTAGTGGCTGAAGCACAGTAGGTATCCTCCTAAAGCCTATTTTCAGTGCAGTTTCATCTGAAACAAGTCAGGTCTGAGATCACCCAGCAGTGATGATCTGAGCACACTCCTGAACCAAAAGACATAGCTCCACCTTCAGATAGCACCAGGAGACCACCACACCTCACATATCAGTGAATCTTCACGGGAGAAAAACTATAAGCTGCAGAATTGCTATCATACTAGGAAGCATCAGAAAGTCCACACATTGGGGACACGTTCTGTTGTGGGGATAAATAGAGATAATAAAAGGAGAAAAAAAAGAATGGAGCTTCTCCTGCAGATAGGACAGTCAAAAAATAAGTCATGTGAATTCTTACACATCTAATGAATAAATTATCTAATGTCAGAGCACTCCTTCACCAGAACTGTCATTAAGATTACCCATCTAGACCTGATCACCTGTAAAACTTCCAAAAATGTATCATTTGAGACTTATCTATGTAGCTTGATCGACATAATAAAAAATGCCAAAAAAGGACAAGCACATACAAATTGTCAAAGAGAAACTCAAAGTTTGTTTAGAAAAAAGAAACAAAAACAACAGACTAGAAAGCACAGCCTGCAAAGCAAATGCTCGTGCTATACATTTTTGCTGTAACAGCCTTGTATTGATGGGGTATAATCCTTCACCCAAAAGGGGAGACATGAAATCAAGTCCTTCACACACAGATTACAGCCTATTCCTTGTTCAAAAATTATCAGATACAAAGGTCAAATAATTCTGAGGATGAGAAGTAGAAACCTGTGAACAGAGTAGCCTAATCTGCAAATAACAGTCATGGTCCTTTCTGTCTCGTTCTTCCCGCTGGTGAGCTTTGCATTTGGCGGCGTTACGGTCCAGCAGGCAGAGAAGGGGAAAGCAGGGAAAACAACCGTCCATGAACTAAACTCACCCATCACTCCCTACACCAGGGCATCCCGTTAGGATACGGATCTGGCTACGCGCTCTGAATGGAAGCCTCCCTGTTCGTGAGGGAATGCTCGTACCACCAGAGCCTCCCTTTGCAGATATATTTTAAGGAGCGCAAAGCTTTGTTGCCAGCAAAGCCAGTTTAAAAGGTTCCAGCATCAGCATCTTCCTGCCTCTCCCTCCCTCTTTGCCCAAGGATTACAGCACTCTCAGCTGTATGGATTCAGCTGTTTGCGTGGGCACACTTCAAACCCTTCCAGTGAAATAGTCTACTGTAAATGCAAAAACACCCTCTGCTGGGGTTTCTTCTTTTTTTTTTTTTTTTTTTTTTTCAGGAAGGCTGAGGGAAAGGCTGGAAGGGGAGAGTAGGAGCCTGACTTTTTCCACCAGACTATTCTTCAAAGCTATTCATACAGCCATACCCTGAAACAGATGAGGGAATAAAAATCTTTGAGGAGGGGGGGGTAGAGATGAAATGGGGTAGTGGGGAGGAATGATGCAAGCAGCTGGGGCTGGAACGTAACAGGGAACTACACATGAAGCCCATATTTACTTCAGCATCTTTAATCAGGAAAGGACTCCAGACACACACTCACTAAAGGTCTGAGACACCCAAAATGTAGCCTCGAATCAGACACCAAAATGATAGTCCCCTAAAATTGCCTACAATCACCAGAAATGTACCCCCTCAATTTCATTTTCTTTTGCTTGCACCCTGGCTAAGGAACATGAGGACAGGGTGCAGGCAGCAAGAGGAAGTGTAAGAAAATGCTCTATCAGCTACTTGTTTTTTCCACTTTCCATCAGCTCTACTGAGGCCCCTCTCAAAGTCACTGTTTTTCGGGAAAGCTGCCACCCTGTGCAGCATTTCTCCTCCTGGTGGGAACAGCTTTGTGTGGATTAGAGAGGTATTGCTGGGCAAAGCACAGCTTTTTGATTAAATATTTCTCAGGAACATTCCCACCGCTTAGCAGAACTTGTTTACATCTCAGCATTTCAGCCCAAGTTCAACCTGTGCTCTTTTTAAGAGGATTTCGTTTGAATGAGATATGTAAGTCAGGAGTCTTGAGCTCCATTCCCTTTTCTACTCTGACTTTGATGTGTGCCTTTGGGCAACACATTTACCCTCTCTGTGTCAGCTTCCCCCATCTGCAAATTAGAGATTTTCATAATTATCTTAATAATCCGTTAAGCACATTGAGATTTCTGAATAAGCAGTACAATGTATAAAGGTTAATATTGTTTTCAAAAGCCAAAGTAACCCTCCTTATGTCACTCTTGCAAAAATACTGCATCTGATGTTTGAAAAATATATCTGCCAAGTAGACGTTACTGCAGTAAATGTTCAGCACATGTTTGCCTCTACTGACGCACACTATTAGAAAAATTGCTTGAGACAAATTGAGATATTATAGAACAACCCTATTATGAAGCAAGACCACAAAAAAGCTTTTTTTAATTTAAACTAGATCGTCAATAGAATAGGGAAGAGATGGATGAGAATGGGAAAGTTGGTTGTAATTATTTCTCTGAAGATCTGGAACATTATCTGACAGGATTTTAATTCTTGAGTCTCTATCAAAAGACTGGCAGTACTCCAAGGTCTTCAAGACATTTTGGTCCTTAAGGGTAGCAGGAGGATAACAGTTTGAGCAAAAGGCCTTTACTTGCTATTACTTGCTAGCCTTGTGCTATTCTGCCTTCTACTTTTCCCTAGAATATTCCAGTCAATTCAGATTTCACAAAAGAAACACAAATTTATGCCCAAAACAGTAAACTACTCTATACAATTATCACAAATATACTTCAAAAGGAGAAAGATATTAAGGTGCAGACAAAGTACCTCAAATAGGTACAGCTTCAAACTCAGACAAGGTGGGTGGCTGAACATGTGAGAATCTTGATGAAACAAACTCTCCAGAGAACTATGGGTAAATAATTTTATTGCCAAAACCATTGCTTCAGAAGATTGAAAAAGGTTCAGAGATGCTCTCAAAGGACCCCAAAAAACCCCCAAAAGCCCAACCAATCCCAAGCCCTAAAAAAAAAAGCTGCCTTAAAGTTACTGCTAGCTAATTCTACAACAGCTAAGTAAGTGAGGAGGATATGCACCAAAATTAAAAGTTGATATGTGAAATGTTTTAGCCACAACTATTCTACGACAAAAATAAGGAAATGTAAAGTGAAAACAGAACTCCAGAATAGCAGTGGTTTGAACTCCTGTACTTCAGACGATATATTCTTTGACAGAGAATTCTTCGTAGTTGAAGTAAAAACTAGTTAAATATTTCAGCAGGCAGTATAAGTCATCACACCCTGAATAAACGAGCATTAAAATGTTTTAATCTGCCAGCTGCTGAGTTATACCAATGTTAAGATATCACTGAATATAACCTGTCTGGTAATTAAAAGCAGTTATCTAATATTAAAAGAAAGGACACATACAAAAACCTCCAAATAAACTCACTGGGGTCATTTCCAAAACTTTTTCTCCTTCAATCCAAACTAAGCACCTTAAGTTCCTCAAATAGACCAGGTGAGCTAGAAGAATATGGCCAGGAAAGCCAGTTCAGGAGACGTACTCAAGAAATACCTCTGAAAACTGATGAGTCTGTTGAATTAATTCCCCATTAGTGGGAAATTCTTGACTTCAATAAGCTCAAGAAATTGCTGCCAGTATACAGGATAGTAACTGGGTAAGTTCAAAGAAACACACTTAATTGAAAAGGCACTTTTAACCAGGTTTACCAAGAATCCAGGTCCGCATGGGTCACCATCAAGAACAGCGTTGCACTACCCCAAGAAAACATCCATTGAAAATAAACTTTGATTCACTAAGAAAAAAGTTATCCCTCTTTTTCCTGTTGTGGAGGATTCCTAAATACAAATTCCTTTCACTTTTGGGCTCACATTTTTTTTGTTCACTTCTCATCCCATTTACTAATATGAGGACCAACACAAAAGCTTGTCTTGCACTGTCACTCCAGAAATGAAATTCATTTGTACAGTTCTTATCTTTTATCTTGAGTCAGGGCAGTAGTACAGAACAGTTACTATGTAAGATTAAAAAGTGATGAAACCCTTCAAGTGTGGTTTGTGATCTGTTCAAATTGATTTCCATTTCCAGAATTGTATCACATGGCTAGCAGCAGCCCATGCTAGGATCCAGGATGCTGGGTAATCCCAACCCTTTCTACAGGAGCAAACCCATAGAAACAACCAAGGGCAATGCTGTCAGGGCACCTGGAAAACTGCTGTATCCTCAACACAGTCCTCCTTTCCACAGAAAGGTGGTAGAGCTCATGAGGAATCACTGTCATATCCTACATTCAGTGCTCACCCTCTCCTTAAATGGTAAAAGCTTTGTGATCTTTGACCAAGGAAAGAGTCTGATAGAAAGGCTGCAAAATCAAGCAGACTGAACATCTCAGTAAAAAATTTTCACTATGTTAATTCCAAGGTGCAAAGTCACAACTTTATAGAACAAAATTATTGACTAAGTATCTCTTGCGACATTTGTAAATTCCCTGGCAGAGTTCAGCCCTGTACCTGTTCTCTCTTGACCAATTTCTTTCAAAGCTATCAGATTCCTCAATACATCCACATATAAGCTCAAGTAAAGAAAACAGAGTGGAAAAATTTCTGCTAACTCAGGCAACATAAGGACCACTGGTAATGTAGATCCATTAAGAACAGCCTAACATGAAGGGAGGGATGGGGATGGAAAAAAGGAAAATGAAAAGAGGCCACTAGTATTCAGCTAACTTTGTTGTCAGAGTCAGAGGGTATCAGAATCCTGGCAGACAATACCTTGACATAAAAAGAAAGTGTTACACCCCAAAAAACCTATTAGTGAATACATCCCTGTTTGTACATGCAACAGGATGCTATATCACTTTGTGCATCTGGTTATTTGGGTCAGCCCAATAATAATCCAATTAACCATACTGTGTTGTGTAAGATTTAAGCAACACTAAATTTCTGATCATGCTGCTAGAAGTCACACCTACTTTGTTATCATAAATGTATTTTCAGGGCAAAGTGCTACAAGAACAAAAAGTTATTCTTAGATAAAGTTAAGAGAAGTTCATTCTAGAAACCCTTAAGCAATTTCTGACATCATGAACGCTGGCTGTCATGACAATCAGTCTGAGCATTTTTGCCAGTTTCTCAGACAGAGGCTTTATTATTTTATTTTATTTTCAAATGCATCCTGCTACCAAAGCAGAACAAATACAATTTATTTTTTATTAAAATAATTTACAAAATTACTTAAGAAATATTTAACAAAAACAATTTTTACTTCCAGATTTATTTGCCCGAATTTTCTTAATGTCAGTATTTTCTTGAAGAAATATACACTACTGAAAAGATCATACACTTCAAGCAGTACAGGTAAATGCAGATTACAGACCGAATTTTTTTCATTCTAATGCTATATTTTACCATGCAGTTTTTCCTTCAGCAAAAGAACATGAAGGGTAAAGTCTTAACCCCATTAAAAGTCAAGGCAAAGCCTCCATAGATGGTAATGAGACTGGGATTTCACCCAAGGTGTTAAACTGTGGTTTGGGAAAGCGAATAAAAACACATCTATTATTGTAACAAGTACTTACCTGCTAGCCAGACTGAGCAATTCATGTCTATCGGCTACTGCAGATTTCTTTTCCAGTTCCCACAACATCACATTGATCAGGTACGAATTCTTAATTACAATGGGCACTTCTTCAAACATGTTTTCATAAGCAATATTTGCTTTTTTCAAGCTGTGAAAAAAGTTTAAAAATATTTATTAATGTAACCAGTAACTCTCTTGTTCTTTTTGTTGAATTTTTGCTCCACTAACAACTCGCAATTTTGTAAAAACTCGTGATTTTCATAGTTCCACAATCAAACAAGAGTCAAATTTTGGTAAGAGAGCACTTGCATGGCAAAGCCTCGCATTTACAAAGACTAGGAAAAACTGGTCTAGGAAAAACGCTCAGAAGTCAAGCAGCCGCTTTGCTTGCTAATACTTTACTTACATGAAAAAGCCTCCAGCAAAAGACTGTACTGACAGGATTAACTCTGCCCCTTCCAAAATATTTTACCGATTTCCCTGCCATCGGGGTTTCTTAAATAGAAGTGAAGATTTAGTTACCATACAACACTGAAATATCTTTAAAATTGTAACTACTACATTGAAAAAAAAATTCCCAGTAGCTGAATAATTAAAATTTTTACTGACCAAAAATAAGATTGACAAAATAGTGTGTGTTTTGGAATAATTCAATTCCATGGTGGATATTAAAATATAAATTTCCAGTGTATATTTTTTTACAATATAAATATTAAAACTATTGTTATTGCTTTATAATAAAGTAGACAGCAATACCTTTCATAAAATCTGGAAATAAGGTCATGATGTATAAGTTTCCAAGGAAATATAGCTTTACCTTTGTGGGATCTTTGTTTGGTTTTTTGTTGGTTTGTTGTTGTTTTGTTTGGTTTTTTTTACTAAGCACAGATTTGTTTGTTCATCATGGAAATGTTATATTTAGACACCAAGCAAAGAAATTATTCTGTTTATCCTCAATGAAGAAAGTTTAACAAGTGCTTGTGCTTTTGCCACTGAACACCAAGCTGTCCGAGGAAAATGATGACAGCTAAGGCCTACATCTAGTAGAAGCAGTTAATCTTCTGAAACAGAGTAATTATCCTACTTAACTCCAGAAGATTGTGTCCACACGGGGGAGTTAATTTGGAATAAATACAGAAGAACTGTTATTCCAGAATACCTGTTCAATTTTCCTTCTGGAAAATAAGATCATAAAGACAGACCAGCTATTTCCCCTTCTCCATTTCTTTTTTTATATTTTTGACTCTGTTCCCAGATACACTTATCTTCACCATGGTCCTTACAGTCAGCCTGCTGACCATCTCCAAAATCACTTCAAATTCCACCATGTCAGTCCTTATTCAGAAGCCCAAAGACAGACTTTCATGCCTTCTCAGCATGTATCTTCTTCCCACTGTATCAGTGCACATCTATCACCACCCACATGCATCCGGTTTCCCCAGTACACACTATTACGTAAGATTTTAAAATACAGTATTTCATGTATTTCATCATCCCATGTACCCTTCCGCCTCCCAAACAATCAGCAAAACCTATGAGAAGACATTCTTTTAAGTTACTTACGCTTCTGGAGAGAAGTCTTTTTCTTTGCAAACTTCCATCAGTTTGGGAGTCAGCCTATATGCCTTTAGTGACAAAGACCCTTGGGCAGTCTTAATGGGATCTATTATCAAAAATAAAGGAAGCGTATTATTACTAAGCCCAGACAACTTTTTTTTTAAAAAAAAAAAAAAAAAAAACAAAAAAACCCCAACAACCTGAATGATATAAACAGGAAGAAAATAACTAAGCAGTCCAATTAAAAAAAAAAAAATTAAGACAACCAACACAGAAAAGACACTATAGCAAAAGTAAACCTATTGTACTTTCATGTAGATACATCCACCTATATACAGTGAAGCAAAAGTAAACCTATTGTACTGAAATGTGTAATACTATATACAATGAAGCTAATTAACAAAGTTAACTTGGAGAACATGGGGGGATCTGGACCCATACAACATTATTTCTCCATTAAAGATCTAGTTCACATTTTCTTTTCTTTCATGTGAACTATCCACAGAACTCACGTAAGAGCTACCTCATTTAAATATTTTTTCCTCCAGTCATTATGCAATAAATTAAAATATTCATTAAACTATATTTTATTTTAAAAAATAGTAGCTTTAGAGTAGCAATAAGCTAATTCAGATCAAGTTGCCCTGCTACTTCATGCACAACAATGTAACTGGTATATAAAAGATTAGTTTTGCCTTGACATACTCTACTGAATTTAGGGGGGAATTTTCTAAACAAACTGTTACATTCCTGGGACAAAGAAGCTTAACACTTGCAGCATGATAACGGCTGAAGCAAGCCAACATAAGAATAAAAGCTGTGTTAACATTCATGTTGTCTGAAACTTAACACAGTAAAACTTTTAGCAATCGGTGATAAAATGAAAACCAAAATAGACTGAAACAAGTGGAAAATTCATCAAGGTCTGATGATGCAATGTTTCCAGCCAATATAAGTATACTTTAACAACTTGTTCTTTACTGTAATCCAATTGTTAACATACTGAAACAATTTTGGGGCAACTCGTAAGATTGATCGTATTCATTAGTATTTTTTCTGACAGATACTCAGGACGTTACATTTATTTCTCAGCTGGAAACTATATGCAAGTCTGCCAGATATGGCAAACTGTGAGTGTTTGGGGAGGGGGAGGCTATAAAGCTGTTAAATTGCCTATGGTTCTGATACAGCACAGAACATCTGGTCTGGAGAGCTTGAGGAAACACCATTAAATAGGCAGAAAAGAAAAAAATCTTTGTGCTAAGAAACAGTCTAGGTTTTGTATGCTTCTGTCAGAGGTATAAAAAAAAGCTTGGCAATTCGTGCAAGGATTGGTCAGTCACGTACAGAGCCAGACACGCTAGCAAGCAGGGTTTGTTAGACATCTGGTCAGGTTCCACCAGCCCCTTCGACGAGGGAGGGGAGATGAAGGAATAAAAATGAAGCAGCTACTCCAGCATTCCAAAACGTACACATCAGGGCTCTGATAGCAAGAAAAATAAACAGAAAGAAGGAAACCCTGTCTAGACTTAGCTGCTGCTGAGGCTGCCGTAGACACAGGGTTGGTATTTACTCGAAAAAGCCTGCCAGGCTACTCTTACAGGCAAAAGACAGAATACAAAAATAGTAGTAATAATATTAAGAGGGGAAAAGAATAATAAAGGAAACCTCATACTAACCGTAAATGAGAACTACAGACTCCTCAATTGCGTGCTGGTAACTGAACTGGGAGTCCAGGAGGGCACGAGTGACAAAAGAGCCATAGTATGTGGACTGGTACCAGCCAACGTGAAGATGATCAATGTTTACATGGCGAAGGCTTCGCATCATTTCCATCTGGTATTGGACTAGATTAAATAAAAAATATGTTTAAAAAGTAAGCTTACACAATCTGTACTATTTTGAGAGAGAGCTTGATATTAAATGAGTAAATTGTACTTTATTTTATTTTCATTTTTGCAACTGTGTAGAAGTTTGTTTATTCACTGCTGGACTGTCTTCATTAAAATCCAGAGCTTCCTCAGAGAATGAGAGTAAGACTAGCCTGAGTAAGCAGACTTTTTTCAGCTGTAGCTAATTGCTACAGTGATCAACAAAATGTTACACGTCATTTACAGTGTGTATTACCTTGCTCATTCATAAAAAACCCTCTTCTGATACTGAGTTTCATTAATCAGTAGTATTTTACCATTTACTAACAAAGACATATTGTGATTTACATTGTTACACTGTCCAGAATTAGGCAACTTTTGGAATCAAAAGGAGAATTATATAATGAGTATATGAAATAGAAGATAAATTATTTCTGCCTTTTTTCACAACTCTCTTCAGTATTAAGAGTTTGGGGGACCAGCTATAGCTGTCAGATAGTTTTGATTGCATTTATCTTCAATTTTTCAACACTGTTTCTTCTTTTAGATGTATACAAATGCATAAGTAGGCATGTATGTATATATTATACATAATCCACACACACACTTATATACAGTAAGTTACCTTAGACAGGAGAGAACATTTTTTTTGTCAGGCTTTTTACACCAACAGCTGTAATGCTTCATTGTACCAACGCATAAATTCTGTTTCTGATAAATGCTTCATTCCAACAGACTGCCTTGATGTAACAGAATTCTACTTAGGAATGTTTAACATAATCGCATCGAGCAGATCAACACACCTTATCATTTATCAGACCTTTTAAACAGACAGACACTGTGCCTGCTGGTTAAACTTAAGGAAACAGATTTCAGCATGATTATCAGATGGACCAATACTCACAACCAACTAAGAGGAAATCAAACGCAACAAGTTAAGTTTTGTATGCAGCTGCAAAATTTACAAAGATAAAAAACAACTCCCATGCATTCTTTTTTGGTTTTGGATTTTTTTTTTCAAGGCTTCTCTTTGAGCAGCTGAAATTATGATATTCATTATAAAAGAAAGCAACATAAATTAATTAGAGGACAGAATGCACTACATTTTCAGGCCCCACCTTATATCTTTTCAAAAGGAAAAAAAAAGTCCAACTATATTCTTTAAATATGTGAGGAGATATTTTTCAAGATTGGAAAAATATTTTTCCAACTTATCATCCTTACAGCACAAACTACATTCTGCAGTCTGCTGGCCCTTTTCATTAATTTGCCATATCTTACTGATTGTATTTTTAAAGTAATCTACATATATAAGCCTTTGCAGACTTTTTCCATCAGCATGTTTATGGCTTGCATTCTATTTCATGATATCTTAATAGAAATGACTTGCAATCTGTGTGTTATCCAGGACGCTGCGATAATACAGCACCCAAAAACTAATACAGCAAAACCATCCAGGCTACAGCCTGAAATCCCATAATATGCTGCGAGCAAAGAAAAGGCCTGCACCATTTGGCTGTCCCTAAACCAAGGTGAAACTAAAGATGCCACTACACTCTTCAGGACAGCTAGCCAGTAGAACTGATCAAACAGCTGTTTTAAAGTCAGTATTGAAACCTCCGCCCTCGCCAGATCAAAATAAACTTTAATCCCACTCTCACTGCACAACTGCCAGAAACAGTGGCCAGGTTCAAGGACACTCCTTACACAGCAGCCCTGATGCTTTAGCAGGTAGCATCTCAACTCTTCTCACAAAAGCAAAGCTAAGATCTAGCTTGTCAAAGAAGCTCAGTCCTTAAACTTAAAGGTTTTGTTGGTTTTTTTTGAGGGAAGATGTTAAGTTTCTAAATATTATAATTAAAACATAAAGAACAGACCTCCTGCAGAACAAACTAAAAGACTCCTCCTGTGAACATGATTTTAAATTGAAAAAGCATATGATTCATTTAATAAATGTAGCTAGAAGAAACTATTTTGGTTTAAAGAAGCTTTTCAAAGGTGTATCTGTGGGGAAAGCAAGTAAGACTTGCTTTTAACATAACATGCTACAACGTGCTAAAACATGAAATCATGGTTAAAACCTTTCTAGCCAAATTAAATCATGAAAAGGAAAAACTAGAAAGAGATTTTCAAAAGCAGCTGAAAGATATAAAACATTTTTCAAGAATGAAGTTAAATGTGAATTTTAAGATAGCTGAGCTATACTGCTCCTTGCAGTGGCATTTCTCTTGTAATTAAGGACACTGTCAAAGTAGAGGTGGTCATGTAATGATGGGAAAAAAAGATACTTATCTATAGATTCTTATGAAAGCCCGTGGTTGACCCATTCAGATATTTTCTCCCTTAATAGGTGTTATGTTAAACAGAGGGAATACCCTAAGAAAATATGCAGATTTTTTATAAACTTGAATAAAGTGCTCATCTGACAGGTAACCAGTAACCACATTCCAGGACAACTTTTCTTAAACACGGTATAACCAGCAATACCTAATTGAACATAAGTGTAAGTGACATCGTCTAGAAGAAAACTACTCTCTGAAAACCATCCAAGATTTCAAGTCAGCAATTCCTCCTCTCACGACTGTTAGCAGTTAGATGATAATGAAGGCAATAGCGGCAAAATCTCAAAGAACCAATAAAGCATCAATAGCTAACATCTCTGCCTTGGGAAAACAACAGCAGAAATTAAAACATGATGCAGTCCTCACCAGGGAGAAATGAAAACTCTTTTAACCAAACATATATATTTTATAACATGTATTAGTAGCTAGATAGCTCCAACAAGCTGCCAACTGGCACAAATGGATAACAGCCCCCAGGCTGCTTTTGTTGATATCGTTACCACTGTTTCTTTACACCTTTTGCCCGATCTACAGAACATACTCTTTTTACCTAGAGGTTTAGCGTGGACTAGGCAAGAGCTCTCTCCTTCTACCCAGTCCTCAGTCTGCTAGGACCTGGGACAGTCATGCACTTCTAACAAGGAGCTGGCTGTTTCAAGTCATAGTCCTTCCCAAGCCACGCTGCAAAGGTGCCACTAAAAAGTGCCAGTAAGTCTGTGAGTGCCCACAGCTGAGGTGAGCAAGGAAAAGTGCAGGGGAACAGCCAGACCAAGGTGCTTCTTTCCTTGTCCCCACATTTAAACAGTGTATCTATATTTTTAAGTCAATTATTTGTTCAGGAGTGTCCTTATGATTAGGAAAGCCAACAGTCATGCTTCCACTTCCGTGTGCTTCTTGCATTGAGAAGGTGAAGCCTCCCTCCTGAGCCATCACACGCCTTCAAGCGCCAATCTGTGTTAGATCTTTTATTTTCTTTTAACAGAAGATTCTCTCTTTTGCTATTATTAAAAACAACTCCTTCCTCTAAAAGGGCAAACTTTTTGTTAGTTTGTAAACAAATGGAGGGAGGGATTAATGCAGCTAGAAAGTGTTACTATAATTTATCTAAAGCAGAAAAAATGTAGAGCTATACAGTATGAGCGCTTTGCTTGAGTGTGAATGACTTGTGTGAATCCCTTGACTGAAAACAGTAAATCTTCTTAAGAGTAGTTTGGTGGGTATTTTTTCCCCTGAATTCAATTGTTTTAACAAACTTGTAAAAAAGATTAAAGGAAATACTAAAATAATGTAAACATTTTTTTCCTTTTCTAAAGAGTACTAGCAACATTAGAAATTTTATCTGGGCTTTAACTTATAGGAGGTATATACCTTACCAATAAGAAAATAACATACCCAAAATTATATAAGAAATCAGAGACAAAGCCAAGAACTGAACAGTAAAGCAATGACCCATTCAACACTGGGACAACTCAGCCACGTTCTCGAAATAACTTAAAATATCCTCAGTCAATAACTTCAGTATTTCAAAACTTAATTTAAGAATAGGTCAAATCAACTAAGGCATTGAAAAAAGGAAAAAAAAGGTCCATATGATGATTTTAAAATGCAAGCAAATCTAAGACAATAGAGTTTACAAACAACAGGCAAATTCACATCCTTCTTGAAATAACACCGTATTTCTAAAATGCTCCAAAACAAGTTGTTCTTGTAGCAAACTGATACATGATGCAAGTTTATTTATCACTAAAACTGTATTAATTTCATTTCTTTATAAACAATACATTAAAATGCAGCTCTCAGGAGGTCACATATTAATGTACATGTTGCCGAAATTTAGTCCCTTAAATAGTTATTGCTACCATCAGATGAGATGCATTTCAGCCTGGCCACATTCAGAATGCTGGTAAATATTATGACATGTGAAAGCCTGATCAAAGATGGCCTGGAGGCAATACATTTGATGGCACCTCAGATGCTCAAGGCCTTGATTTCCAAAACATATTTTAAGTTGATGTGCTGTAAGAAATCTGGTTTTAAGAGCAGCAATCAACATGTCCCCTAAAGAGCCAAGCCCCACCAAAGTGGAAGAACTTCATACCCAGTATCACGTGCCATAGACACGCTCACCCAGCTCACAGCAGCGTATGGGACACAGGCAGCACTACCAAAGGAGGTAACAACCACCTACCTCTATGCTACAGACCACCAACACCTGCGTAACCTTCAGGCTGGATTTCACAATTAAGTGTTTGTCTGGACTCACTTCACAAATTTGCCTTTAAATGATGAATTTAAACAGCAGGAGTTACACATGTCTCCATGAGGGCAGGTCACCAATTCAAGAACAAGGTAGACCACGACTGCTCCCTCACACACAACAGCCACCTCAAAAAGACTCCGCAGTACCTGAGGATGAATATTGTTTCCTTGCAGAATCCTGGGCATCCAGAAGACAGATGAACTGAAACTTAGGGCAGTCACTAACTAAAATGAGCTCAAGACTGGGCATGCTTTCCAAGGGAAAAAAGATGCTTTTTCTTCTGTTAGCACCTAGCCTCTGTGCTAACACTCCTCCGAATTTAACTGGCAACATGGACATGGTAAATTTTGGTTATTCTGGTCAGTCTATACTGA